CAAAAGACCGACCACAGCTCACAGCTATAGCCGCGTCTGGCCTTTGCCTCATTCATCCTAACTATGCTGACATTAGCAGCATAAAGTTTTACAATGGGAAAGTGTTTTCTGCAACGAAAATTCTGCCACTGGCCATAATGTGTGCATTTCCTTAATGACTATCAGCAGGCTTTTAAGGCTATTTTGCTTTGTTCACTGTGAGAACCATAGCTTTGCTTGTGAAACAAAGAGCACTTAAAGTGAATAATAGCTACAAAATGTAACATATCTTGTCTTATTGCACGGAGTCGTAACAAAGACCCCTGAGCAGATATGAAAATCCTGAGTGTCTTCTGTTCACAACGATCCTTGAATCCTTGAATGTGTGATTCACGCCAGAGTGTCACATTCATGGATCAAACTATACAAGTCCATTTTTCACCACATGTGCATATGGGCTGTTGGCACATACATGCGGCCCCCAGGGGTCCAACACCAACCGCCCACCCCCTTCATACCTCCTCCAGTTGGACCATGTCTGTCTCTGACAGCATACCGCTCGGCCATGTGCGGCGAAAGAGGTGGTCAGCTTTGGACCAAGGCTGCACTCGGCCACACATCGCATGCAGCTGTTACAAAATGGACACTCTACACATGTAACGCAATACCTAAAAATGACCTCATTCAGTCTCAGCCAGTTAAAGTCAAAGCTGAGACGATTTCCTTCAAAAGCACTGGCAGCCAGGCTGACGGTACAGTTTATAAAGCCTGTGAGGCAAAGTGCCAACGGCTTCTACCCCCAAACTACTGATAGCCCAGTTGGCAGGGGAGATAACTGTGTAATCGTGTGTGGTTTTTATGGATTTTGAAGCAGACATGTTGCATGAAAAGATGAAATTGATACTGTTCAAGGCCAACTGTTCCACTATAGGATGGATGGGTGTGAGGTTAGTAAGCGAGTGAGGGACGGGAGAGAGTGGGAGGTACACAAGGATTTAAGCTTGCCTAAACAACCTTCTCCTACTGCTATGACTTCCCACAGTGAAAATTGTTTTTGAGAACAGTTAGAGTAGGAAGTTAGATGGTTCTGCTCACTGCTGTTTATACAGGCGTACATACAGTACAGCTCCATTGGGAAATTACAGAAAAGGCTGGAGTATAGAAAACTTGGAAGGTAATATGCACTATATATATAACCAGTACCCACTCTTTCAGACCCTTATGATAGTCAGTTCACTCCACACATAAGAAATTATGTTTATGCAGACCAGAGCAGCTTGCAGTACACTCTGACAGACCATATGACCTCACAAATACCACAAAGTCAGTGATATGACACATGGTGAACAGTATGAAATACATTTATAGGAATAACTCGTAAACAACTCAAAACTGAAGCATGATCACTAACTTGTTTGTGTCTTTTGTCACATTTAATGTTGCATGAGCCGCTACAGAACGCCATGGAGGACATCCAGCCAGTGGTTGTGTGGTGCTTTGCTACCATCTACTGGTCGGCAACAAAGATGCCGTCACCATATATATTAGTTCAGTTCAATTATGAGTAAATGCTACCGTGTTGAATTGTAAAATATAATAAGAAGCTAATGTAAATTGCAAATATATTAACTTTTAAATGCATTTCGTCAAGACTGTGAGCAAGCTTTGCCATTTTCAAATATATTAACTCAAAAATCATTAGTCTTCTTCTTGCCAATCACTGTTGTCATTGCTGAGGAAATTTCTTTTTACAGAAAGCATTTTGACATGTCACAGTAAGAGAAGCTCAGGTGAAAATAATGAAATGAGTGATGGCTGAATTGGATTTACCTGCGTTGGTCCTGGTGTTGTGCATGGATCACTGTCAGGGCTCATTGGTGCACTTGAATAAAACCAAGCCATCGTTAATAGTATTAGTAACACCTGTGCTTTTAAATCACAAGTCTTTACGTCTGCTGCGGTAAAGGTCTACATAGGATAACAATACGCGGAGAAAGATATTGTTCTCAATATAGCTAAGGATGAAATAACAACAATAGGCATGTTTCATAGCAGACCTTTTGACTGTCACTTAAGGAAAAGTACTTTACTAAGGTTTATTAATAACACTAACGATAGCTCCTTTCTATTCAAGGAGCGACAGTGACAGTGAACCACAGTATCTTCTACAGTACAAATATGTTCTGTGGAAAAGAGCTATTATTTCAAAGGGATATTTTGGCTTCAGGGTGGACTAACAGCACAATAACAAACAAGAATCAACCTAAGATTAGCCTACTCAACCTCGCAGGTTCACCAAATAGAGGCCGAGAGAGAGAGATCCACAAGCAGGATTTAAGATGACAGAGGGGGTTGAAGCACATAATACACTAATATACAAACACAATGTCATTATACAACGTCGGGGTCGTAACTCATCCAAAGGCTCCAGTGTCAGTTAGCAATGAGGAATTTAATGCAACTGCACTTTACAATACCTGCTGCACAGCTAACACACTTTACAGTTCTCCGTAGTAAAGCTATCTGCTGATATTCATGCTTGCACGTCACTCTTTTATCAATCTATAAAAAAAACGATATCTTTTCATAATCTTCCAAACATATTAAAATCTGCAGCCTCTACGCAAACATCCACCTCCTCTCTACTCTCCCCTGTCATTTTACGAATGTAATTTACTGCAGAACTATCTTACCTATCCTCCTACATCTTAACAGTGCTCAGCCCCTCACTGCTACGAAGACGGATTGATGCTAACCTGTTTGCAGTATATCCCTGATTGAGCAGCTGATCTACACCAACATCCCACACAGAACATCAATCAAAAAAAACTTTCAATAGATTATAATCCTATAAAACAAAACAATAAAAGAAACAAATGAAACAAGCTTGTGATATTTATATAACCCGAGCATAAAATATCACACACGTGTCAAACAGGCACAGGGAATGTAAGATCTTGTTTGACACAATAGGGGTCACTGTTTGCTAAATTAAAAGAAACACATGTTTCATTGGGTTGGATACCTTTCAGAAAATAATTCACTAAGATATCACTATAACGTCACGGTGTGTTATGAGATGTAATAAATGTTAACCAGTGAGCCTTATACACCTGCATTTTAAGTGGATGTAATTTTGCTGTCGTAGTTTTATAACAAATACGTCTGTAGATTCTACTGTACACATTTCAATGGCAGATATGATATTGCAAATGAACCTGTCAACAACATAGACAATGTCTGGGATGCAGGTCAGTTAAATTAAAAATATATAAATAAACACAACATTTCACAAGTTGTAAGCATGCACACGATATGCCTTAAAGATTAAGTGTGTTGTTTCAGTATGTCAGTGTAAACCAGGTGAATAGTGGTTTGTGGATACACTCTTTAGTGCAGGTTACAGCTGCAGATTGCACTGGAATGTCTGCCCTGTTACCTCAAAGCACTTCATGGTAAACATCAATCATTAGTGTCTTTTATGAGGATTCTCTGAAGCAGGTTTGTGTTTTTCAGCTGTCATTAAAGGTGTCTGGTTTATGCTCACAGCAAACAGGCCAGCTTTTTCCTAACTTGTCTCTAGCCTGGAGAGTGTGGAAGGGCGCACAGCTTGGTTTCACTGGGAAACTGCTTTTGAGGGGAGTTGTTGTCGTTTTTTAGGACCCTTCCAAATCCTTAGATTAGATTTTAGGAACCAAGGCAGGTTCCTGGCAAGAAATCAAAGCAGTTCTTGAGGGATCCAAAGTATCTGTTTTCATTTAATGCACAAAGCTATCTCAGTGCAATGACCCCTGGAAAAGTGGCTTGCCTTTTGCTGAAGTACCTGCACCTTTATCTCCAATTCATTTTGGGGACATACTTCCTTGAAAATGATACGTTCCACCTCTTGATGACATTCTTAAAACGTACTGGGAACTTACCTCACTAGTTCATTTGCCATAACAATTTGATGAGTCATCGGGCAGTTGACAGATTCAGCTGTTTCCAGAACTCAAGAATATGTACTTTAGTGAGAAATAGGTATGAAGGCATTTGCTCTGTTTATGTCTCTTAAGTGGAGCTGAACTTGTGTTGTGGAAATGCAACCTGCACCACTAAGTGAATCCACATGGAGCCACAATCTGGGGAGCACAAGCACGCAGCCAGCGCTGACCTGCTGCCCTTCTTTATTAACCAACTGGCGTCACTGTGATTAAAATAATCTGAGCTATGGTGAAAACAAAGAAAAGAGGGTTTACTCACAACATTTTCTCAGTGTAATGTGGCCCCCTCCGTTCAAAACATTTTTCTTTTTGTGACATCACTTGGATGTTTGACCTTCACTGCGCAGAATGATGCATGACACCAAAAGGCTGTCTTTTTCATCTGTGGTAAAGGGGGAATTTCTCTGTGGTTACCTTGGAGTATTATCGCGAGACTGCTCAAGTGGAAAATCTTCCAAACAAAGAACAGTCAAGAAGGCGGCTAAGATAACAGAAGTGGGGATTTATTTATCTCGGGTATGGATGGTTCAAAATGAGACCAAACTTTTCTGACAAAAGCCAAAATGTGGCCTGTAAAACACCATGTGAGGCTTGTTTTTAGACAAGCCCACAACCAGAAATAGATTTAGCTTCTGAAGCAGTTGTTGATCATTTGGCCGGTTAAACCGATTTCATATTTCAAAATATTAAAAAAAAGAAAAAATGTGTCATGTAGCCTCATCAACACACTATGGAAGCCCATTTCAACCCGCAACAAAAAAAAATTGGTGTTTGTACAGTGTTTTATGGCAATCCAGCAAGTAGTCGAGATATTTCCCCAAAATACTAAAATGTCACCCTGATGGTGGTGCTAGAGGAAAAATCAAGGGAACACAAAAATCAACATTATTCACCATCTGGGGACCATGACAATGTCTGTACAAACAATCATGGAAATCCATGTTAAGATATTTCTCTCTCAACCAAAAGGGTGGAGTGACTGACAGACTGACCGACACCGCCATGCTGCTAGCATGGCCAAAATAAACATAAATCAACTTGTGAGTCAGCTGAAAAGCATTTTTTATTATTACTTATTTTTAACAGCGTTAGTAGCAAGACATACAGTATAGGTACGATTAGAAAGCATAGCACCAGAATCAATCATTCATTTCTTTTACACAGGCTACATACATACTGTGGGTACATATGATTCTTTAAAACATCTTTGGATAAAGCATGGCAAACAAGCACACTGTCTCTCTATTCAGTGCCAATGCCCATTCAATATAGCACACTGTTTACAATTCAAGTATGAATATTAAAAATACACATATATCATAAGTTACAAATCTTAACGGTTATTACAAAAAAAAGGATTACATTTCTACAAAATGTATGGCACATAGTGCATCAAGTATTCTTTAAATTTCTGATACAGACCTCATAGAACAATTGTCCATCATAAAAACAAATGATGGCCAAAGGTTTTCTAGCTGCTCATTGACTTTTTTATTTTATTTATTTTTCAGCCATTCTTTAAATCAAAAAGAAGCTGCATTGTCTGAGAAGAGAAAAATCTGCATCTATGTTCTAACTTTGGTTAAAGCTTAACATCAGAGTACCAGCATGTTAGGTTGATAGCTGTAGTGGTCATGGTGGAAGTCATTTATGATGAGTTAAGTATTACTGAAGGGAAGATTTCCTCATGCAGTCGTTTATCTGACATATCTGGCAACCTTGAAGCTAGATTTTCAGCTACATTAATGAGAGGACTGTTACATGCATTATAGGCAGATCCTACATCTGCCAAAGAGCCAAAAGCCAGTGTATTTCTTCTCAAGATCAGAAGTAATTCCAGTAGTTCAAAAGCACCATTGAAAAGATCATCATTTAAGGTTAGTGGTTAAACACTACATATAGTAGTAGGCTAATACTTTTTTTTTAGCAAAGCAGACAAAGGACAAAAAAACAGACAATGGCTTCTCCGTTGGTAGTAGTCATTGTACCTTAAAACATAGAACATATCAACAGTCATCACAGAATAAATATGGTCAACATAAATATATTACAACACATATCTCAGTAGAGTATGGATGTTTGTAAGAGGTAGGGGTTGCAGGTACCTACGGTAGGCCCAATGGAGGGTGTGAGATGAGACTTCACACCTGATACTGTGTCTTGGTGTAACAGATGAGAACTTGTTTGTCACTGTGTGTGTCACTAAAGAAAAACAATGTAAAAATAACAGAACCCACATAGCTTAAAAAAGCCACAGAAAACTTTTATACTGTACTTAAATACCAGGAAATATTGAAATATTTCAGCTATTTCCTCCCACAGCACTAGTGTTTTTTCTGTCTCTATGTGACAGTTCTATGTCAGTCAGTGGACTGTATTTGCAGTAGTAGTTTTGTGAAATACCTAACAACAGATGACAGCAGACAGACTTTAGAAATACACAACAATAAAAACTAAAATGATCTGTAGTTGTTCTAAAGGCTAACGCTTGACCCTGGACATAAGGCAGGTCATATCAGTAGTTAGTTGCTCTTTCTTTAAGTCTTGCGCCCCAAAGGAAAAGTTTGACATTTTGATAAAATACACATATTTACTTTCTTGCCGAGAGTAAGATGAGAAGATTGATGTCACTCACATGTCTGTACGTTAAATGTGAAGCTACAGCCAGCAGCCAGTTAGCTTAGCTTAGCATAAAGACTGGAAATAGTGGGAATATTAGTCCAAAGGTAAAGATGCTAGACTAAAGGTGAAGTCACTTTCTTCACTGTTCCCCTCCATTAGTGATGTGAAGACTCCAGGAATTTACTTTGGGAAGTTGGTCCTGCACATAATAATTTATTAGCAGCCCAATAAAACCCCAAAACATGTTAATTAATGACCTTTAGAGCTGCTGGTACCAAGATTTTGTTACTTCAGCCAGAGCCAGGCTAGCTGTATCCAGCTTTTGTGTTGAGCTATGCTAACCAGCTGCTGGTGGTAGCTTCACATTTTCCGTCAACACATGAGTGATATCCTCTCATCTAACTCCAGACAAAAAAGTAGAGAGAAAATACCAAAATGTCAAACTTGTGTAAGGCCAAGATGATCTGCAGTGTAGCTCATTTAATAGTCTCAAAATATACAACTTTTTTGTATTACTTATTTTTCATATCAGCCAATTGACTGTTTCACTGTAAAATAATACATCCATCCCTCACATACTATTTCAATGTCTGTTTGTAGCACTTCTTTTTACCAGAGGATTGCAATGATTAATACAAACATACAGTATATTAATTGTTATACTGTCTTATTGATTGCATGTTAATTCTGGAAAGAAAAGTGTTTTACCAGATTTTTTTTTTCATAGAATATGCTTCACTTTACAGGACAACCATAAGAAAATGTGTTTTTTAAAGATGAGGATTTCTTCCTTGAAGTACTATGTTTTTCTACTGTTAACGCAGTTGCTTTCCCAGTGTTTTGAAATGTTGTATCCCTTTGTATGATGCTAAAAAAAAAGCACAGCAGTGTCAGAAAAAAAACATTGTAGGTTCCAAAGCACAGACGTGTTTGATAGCGATTGCAACACTGTTGGCATGCACATATAGCCGCCTCTTCTTCAGAGTTAGCAGTTTGGATGGAGGACCAGACAGTGGCCTTGTAGCACTGCACAGTACTGCACATAGTGTCTTAAATGCTTTAGCTGCCATGTGGGAAGTGGGTATGTTACAGTAGGATGATTACTGTTAAACGCTCCTCCACCACACTTACTGATGACGACGGGGTCCAACAAATCACTGTTATTGCATGTTTCTGGGCTAGTCTTCAGAATAGTTTAGGGGTTTGGTCCCTGCATGGCCCTCAGTGGACTTGAAGGAGTAGGCCGTTGTGAGCCTGGGGAATGCACTTCCCACAGAAACCACCACAGCGGCCGTAGATTCTTGTTCCGTCCTACAGACAAAGACAAGTGAGAAAGGAAAGTGTGGGCAAAGGGCAGCTGTTTACGCGGAGAATGAATAAATGTCCCCAGCTTCATAAATGTCATTGGGGATTCCTCTTTAGTGAATCAGACAGTAATACAACATGGAAATTCCGATGACATTTCAGTGCAACAATCTCCCAACATCAAGCACAATTACAACAATATATCTATAACATAATCCATTCCTTAAGAGTAAAATAGCATCGGGCATACAGAAGACAACTGTTATATAACTCTACTGTTAGCCTCTTACCTCAGATCTGTGAACTTTGATGGAAACATAGTTGCCCTGTGATGTCCACTTGGTTTCCTCAGCCACTTTGAGACCAGTGCCAATCAGATTAATGCTGAACTGGCCCTGAAAACACACATCAGATTTGAGTTATTTTTGAGCTCTTATTAACCGGGAAGATGGAGCTCATTCATGTTTGCAGAAACGGTCTGTGGCAAGAACTGCAGAAGGAGGGGCCTAAATACATACGACTATGTGGTGAGCACCTCGAATAGAGTAACTGAGAAGTTGGAAGTTATTGCCTAGGACAGAGTGTTTTCCCCCACAGTTCCACAGAGTTATAGCAGAAAATGTTTCGTAAAGAAGTCTCTTCTTTGACTTTTAGACCACTAACATATGGAACAAAATGGACGCATGAAACATTTCTATGAGGTTATAATGTACAGTATTTCACCAACCTGTGGACACTTGGCTGCACTATAACAATCTCCCGCCGTAGCAAAGGGCACAGGTCGACCAAGAAGAGTCTGGGAAAACTGGAGGTCTGTGACTAGTAAACAGCAAAGATACAAATCTAGAGTCACAATGTGCAACAACAGAAGCAAACATAGACGGAAGACAGCTGCTCTAAGGTGAACAACCACACAGAGCATCTGCAGCTGCAGTTTATGCAAGTCACTGTCATTGCAAGGTTGATGTTACTTCACTGTCACATCGCCAGAATGACCGTCAAAGACCTAAAACTCATATTTGCTATGATGTGAAGCTATTAGATAGTGACCACCTAAAATGTTTGTGCAAAAGAGAGAAAAGACATAATAAAAGATGTATGACACTTTGAGCTTATGAATTCAGTTATTTGGAACCAGATCCATAATGAATCGGAATCAGCATATCCCCCCAGTTACAGTAGATTTGTGAGGATCTGGTTTTATGTAAATCAAATCTCTGTTTTACTTTTTAAATCAGTGACTCAATCTGAACCTTGTTTCCCCGACTCTCCTGTTCCTTATCATTTAACCGGCATTGTCACACATGAGAACCATGACCAGTGCCTTTTCCCGCCCTCCCTTCACGTTGGCCTGTATAAAATGATGATAAAGTTCACGAGAGTCTTCCCTTCATCTTGAACTCATTACCCCCCCCCCCCCCACAGCTCTCTTCAAGCTGCCTGAAAGCCAAATGAGTACCATGCAGAGGGGGGTGGGAACATGTGCTGTCAGGACCCAGACCAGACGAAGAGGATGGGAGGATGACTGTGTAAGTTCTGATCCAACATCCCCTCAGCCCACACACACACACACACACATACACTGTTCACTAATCCGCATACTCTAATCAAAGGCATACGTGGACGCAACAGGGAAGGTGGAGCTGAGTATAATAATGAGCAAAGGAGTATGGCCTGAAGATGTGAGTATATTCGCGTGTCTGCGAACGTGTGATCGCTCGCATGCTAGTATGAGTAATTGTTTGATATTCATGCAACTGCATGCATGAGTGTGTGCGCTTGCGTCTTCAGTTCTTCTTGTGTGTGCTCGCCTAAGAAAAAATGTGCGAGGCCGCATCACATATTGTCTGTCTCAGCTTGAGAGCAGGCTCGCGTGTCTGTATGTTGCACGCACGCATTCCTTTATTCTTGCGCTCCAAGTGTGTGCTGAGAGGCCCGGTTTCAAGTCCTCGCCCAGTGATGTGAACACGAAGCGCTGAAAGGTCATCGATTCGACCCCAGCGGAGAGAGTGTGGGGAGAGCGGCACATACTGCGCTTGGACGAGGCGTCTGAGAGTTAAAACAACACCGATGTGTGGTCTCATTACAGTAGACAGAGTAAGGCAATCACACAGTAATTACTCACTCATTATCCTCAGGGAGCTTAGGTCCAGACGAACTTTGTGGAAGAGTGTGTATCCAGCTGCTGAGTAGTCATTCCTGCAGTCGCAGTCCTGTCTTCGGCTGCCGTTAAACGGGCATTCAAAGGGGTTCAGCAACCTTTGTATTAAAAACAAGAAGCATCGGGAGTTATTCAAGACAAACACAGGATACTGAACCCTCCTACAAACACTATATTTACATGCAGCGCAGTAACTCTGATTTACAGTACAAGTGGCGATCAGTCATTGCTGCATTATACACACCTGTGCCCATACACCTCAGAGTAGTTGTCTGTCTGACCGCTGCGCAAGGTCACATACTCCTTGGGGAAATCAGTCTGCATCTCAGCACAGTAAATCTGAAGCCAAACACATTGAGACAAGGAATGAGAGGCTGTGTGGGGAAGCTGCAGGTCGAGTCATGAGGTGTGGAGGAGCATTTCTGACAGAACAGGCACACCTGTAGTATCCGGGACTTCACTTTGAGATAGTATTCCCCATCTATCTTCACACCCAGTCTCATCTGGACCTCTCGGCATGAAGCGAACGACTGGCCTGGGTGAAGAAATGTGAAGGGAGGAAGGAGAGGTTTCAGTTCAACTGCAAGGAAAAAAGAAATTTTGACAGAAACTCTACTCGTGCAAAGCCGTCAATAAATCTATCGTCAACAAATGCAAGACAGATTGCACAAGGTAATAAATTAAACACATCTATATAAGAAGCGATTGTATCCTGGCTCTCGTCTTCTTAAATGAGAGCTGCTGAAAACGTCTCATTATTTGTGTTGCCTCCTCTGTTTTCCCAGAGTGCTGCACAGCTCATATCAAGCTGATTAGCTGATTAGCATTAATACTTGACCGCAGAACTGGCTGTCACCCGAGCATATCATTTTAATTTCGGCAGTGCCTGACTTGGCAGAAGCCAAGTCGGGAATGAACAGCCCAATGCGCAAGTACTGAAAAATCTGAAATGTGGGGGAGCGAACCTACAACCTTTGGCCTGCTGCCGGGTTTTACAGAGCTTGCAAGTTCACAATGAAGGCTGCACACACCCCTGAGGCGTTTTGACAGGCTGGCCATTTCACAATATGTTGAAAACTGCTGACTGTCTATTTATTGTTCCACTAAGTAATCACTCCAAGAGGCTTCAGTGGAGGTCACTATTCTGCTTAATGTGTTAAAACAAACCAAAATGTTGAGTTTCTGTAAACAACAATCAGATACGGTGTTGGTTGTCATATACAGCACAGTCCATTTATTAATAGCATCACTCTACAAACTCCTGGTTGCCAGCAAGCACTAGATTGTAGACTTTTAGAGTTATACTTAACAGCCAAAAAGAGCTCTTAAGGATGAACAGAGAGGCGAGGAGATGAGGGGGGAAGAGAAAGAGAGGATGAGTTTCCACTCACATTCTCTGTCTTGACAGGCAGCTTGAGACTCAGGCCTTCCTGAAGGACGGCAATGTTTGGACGGTTGGCCTTTGGAGGTCACACACTCCACTCTGCGCTCCATCACTCCTGCCCCACAGGTCTGCGAACACTGGTACACACAGAAAAGCATTCAATCCCACAGCTACAAAAACAATTATCAAATAGGCTCCAGCCAGATCCAAATCCGCATATCATCACAATGCACAAGTCATCAAAATGTTTTGCGGAAATGGAGATTAGCTTGAGAGGATTGCTCACAGCCTAACAAGCGCTTTCTGTTTCACCTTGCTCCATGGGCCAACTTTCCAGTAGGTTGTGTGTGGGCAGTCCCTGAGGAGGCAAGGCCTGGAGCCAGGAGGGTGGGGCTCGGGGTAGTGGGTGCTGTCAGAGGAGGACGGGGCAGCACCATACGGGTGCCGAGCCTGAGAGGAGGGCATCGCGGAGCAGGAGACTATACGCTGCTGGTAGCCCACGCCGCAGCTGGCTGAGCACTGAGCCACACACAGACACAGGGATACTGACAGTTAATAAAGACGGGTATGAGTAAAGGTTTGCACAGAGCAGTAATGTCAAATACAAAAGTGGATTTCTTCTTGTAAACCTCAGTGATACTAATGTATCAGTGATTGGATAAGACAAGCAACCTGATTGGGCTCTGAGAATTTAAGATGAGCATTTTTCACTATTGTCATTATTCGCTGTATTTGTAGCAGAACAAAGCTCAGTCATTGTCACTTATTCTCTTCCTACCTGTGACCATTCCCCTGTTATCCACATGTAGTGGCAGGGAGCTCCTTTGCAGGGCTGGTGTGATGGCGGCTGGGACGACGGCGTACAGTAATCATCCTGGACGGGTGTCATCCCTCGGCCCATGCACCCCACCTTCCTGCCTTTCATGCCTTCTCCACATGTCGCATTACACTACAAGGACAATGTAACAGGGGAAGAAATCAGTAAGAGTGAAGAAGAGTTGGCAGAGGGGGGGCAGTGTTGTACTTTCCGCAACATCATTGACTTCTCAGACTCCTGCTTGCCTCTTAAGCTCTCCAAATAGACACGTCTCATTATGTAGAGGTTTACACAAGTAGAGAAAAGTGTGTGACAATGCCGACATTAGCTCGCAAGAAGCGCAATCCCAAACATGTGCTCTGGTGGAAAATGTTTCCATAAAAGATAAAAGTTAAGCTGGTCTCCCTCAGGCACAGTAAGGGTTTATAGGATCATTTGGAATTAATGATATGGACCAGAATCTTAAAGTTTATTTATGTATGAAGTCAGGGCCAAACTGTGACCGAAATAGGACTGTAAATTCTCGAGGCACCACAGACAGGAATCTGAACACAGCAAACATTCTGCAGCAGAAGGACACGGCGCTATGTCCCTACATGGTGCCCCTCTTTTATGCCTCACAGTCAAGGACAAAGCACAGGACATTAAAGAAAGATGAGCGAAGAAAAAAAGCAGTCTGCTAGCGTGACAGAGAACAGTGATATTCAGCAGGACAAAAGGGATCATGGCCATGGGTACTTTGAGGTCTGATATGATTTGCCGCTTGATGGTTATCACCAAAGCCCTCACGATTGATGTGAGAGAGAAGGGGGAACCTGCAGGTCGTCCATTTAACGGTGCAGAGATAGAGAGAGAGAGCGGAGATCTCAGCCAATAAAAACCTTAATGAGATGGTTAAACATCTGTTCATGGGGGACTTGTAAAGAGGAAGAGAGAGAGAAAGAATGAGTCTGTACTTACTTCTTCCCATTCACCAGCGACCCAAGTGTAATGTGTGCATTCTGCAGTTTGGCAAGGCCGGACAATGGCAAGACGCTGGTGAGCGTCACATAGATCCTCTCTGACCTGTCCAGTGCCTTTTAGTCTGCAGTAAACATCTCGGTTCTGAACTCCGACTCCACAGGTGACAGAACACTAATGAAACAGAAACAGAACACACATGTATTAATTCACGGCATACTCATCAGTTGTTGTGCTTCTCATACTGAACAGTATCCAGCCAAGGATATAACAGGAGAACTATACGTATTTGTGGTATCCTGTGTTTTGAGAGTTTGACCAATACTATGGACAAAGAGTCAGGATACTGATACTGATTTTCGTCCATTTGTATTTGCTGCAAATTTGTCCTGGTCGCTAACCACGGTACTGCAACAAGAGTAATAATTTAGCCCAAAATAAACATGTCTTGTAGTTAATCTTTGAAATGTTTATCTTTGATGTGCTAAAAAAAGAGTCATAAAGTCAGCGAACTGACTGAGTAATGGGAAGCTTTCTAACATGAGCCACCATAAGCTACTGCAGATCAAATGGGGCTACATCAGCACAATCCCTGAGTGTGTTTAATTAAATAAGGGTGTGTTTTATTGCTTATGAACTGAAGTTGTCGTTTGCAAGAGAAGAATTGTGTTATTTCTTCTTTCATTTGTTTCATAGTCTCACTATGTGACAATATATAACATTTGTTTGGTCTGCAGTGTCCGTTTTTATTGCTTTGCTGCCCCTAAACAATGTACTTAATAAATCCAAAGCCAGTTTGTCGCTTCTTTGGGCGACGTATATCTTACAAAGGCCTATCTCAAACATCTCTTTGATGTGCTTTGAGAAGCATACCTGCATACTGAGGAAGCTCTCTGTACGGCTTGAGCTGATCGGCCTGATTTCTCTCCAAGTCTCCTACAGACCTCAAAGAACAGTGCCAGCCAGGCCTCAGCGATTTCACAAAGTCAGAAAATTTGCGCATTATTCAGCAAATATCAAATCTCCTGAAAACTTCCAGATGTATTTATGTTGTTCGTTTCTAGCTGCAGTTGCGTATTATCATTACGGAATGTGTGTGGTTGAATATGAAGGTTCAAGGACTTGAGTTTGGAAAGAGAACAAAATGCACAACAGGAAATCCGACCTTCAAATACCAAAAAAATGCCTTTTTTATCTTACAAAGCATGAAAATAACTGTTCACTGTGAAACCTGATTCTGTATTCCTACAAAAAACTTGCAGTCCTATCAGAGGCGGTGGGGACATCATGGAACTATAGATTCGACTATTTTATGATTTCATACTGGTGTTGAGTGAGTCCCACCAGACTTTATCAACATTTCTTCCCTTTCTTTGCCCAGGTAGTAAGATATCCACCTTTGAAACAATGGATTTTAATTAAATTGTATTTGTGATGCTCATAGCATTTGAAAATCCAAGAACAATGTGTCCATTTTACTCCTGATAATCCACAAAACACATAGAAAATGGTTTTCTTTGGAACTACTTTCTACTGAAGAAATAGACCCGCTTTTTTAAAAATACAAACAAAAATCCGTTCACCTTCATTGTAATAAGGTGGGGGCCAATATGTCAGAAATGGATATCTGAGAAAAGCCAAAACTCAAAACTGTCTGCATAGCTAGATACCTCTAGAAACAAAGTAGAAATGATTTTATTTGTAAGTCGGATGAGCAAACCCTGTCACAGCAATCTAAAATATTTCACTGAATATATGAGTGCCGAGCATTACATACAACCAGCAGAATTACGGATAATATTCCTGTGTTCTTGGCTCAATAGGCAGTCCACAGCCTCCCAGCTCCTCCAACATGTTGCCCATTACAACCCCAGTTAGAGGTGACTGAGAGGGTCGGGTAGCTGTGGAATAACTAAAACAGTGGGTGCTGAGGTTTCAAAGTTGTCACATGGATGGATATTAAGATATAAAACATGTCGTTATGCCCTAGTTGAGGATTTCATGGTTGCTGGTGGTATGTGGAGGAAGATGATTGCTTCCAGACACCAGTGAGAGAGAGAGAGAGAGTGAGAGGGGAGGAGGACACGCTCAAAGAGTGCGGAGTGGTAGGAGACTTGTGGAAGGAGGAGGACCTGGGTCTGCATGGACCTTTTGGGATTCAACTATTACTTGGAAAGGAGGAAGGATATGGTAGATTTTCAAACCGTACATCTTTAGAGAATATCTTGGAGTTAAAAAAAGAGTTGATCAGAGAACGTTGTTCAGCCAACGGGTGACAGAAAATGGTGTGTGGTAAAAGCAAATTCACAGATAACACACATCTTAAAACAGCTAGAATCGATATTTTGCCTCTCTTTATACTACTGCTACTGCTAAATCTTTCTGCAGGAAAGGATTTTCTCAGGGCAATTTAACTTTTGCTTACCAAGTAGCATATTCAATTGGACCGGACAAATAGCCAAATAGCAGCCATGTGATCTGCATGACTTGTATGCGATAGGGCTCATTAATAGTGATGAACCCATAAATAATTACAGAGCTTTACATCATCTTTGTTTTTGGTCTTCCAGCTCCCCAGCAATACTGTTTTGGTTCATTCTCACGCTTACTTAGCAATATAAACGTATAAGTTGAAAATATGTCAGTGCTGAGTTCCAGATGTTTCCCAAGGCCCAATGGCCAAAAAAAACCAACCCTGATTGCAGGTTTAAGAAGCAACCAGTGCAAGCTCTTTGTATATATTGTGTGTATGCTTGCTTCCTCAGAGTAATCTGACAGAGCATGACAAAGAACAACCAATCATTCCTCCTCTCATTCTGCTCTTGGACTTGAGATAAATTTGGCTCTGAATATATTCCTCCCTGTGGGACCTGATATGACTTTGAGCCAAAACTGTGTTGCATGCATCTCCTTTTGTTAGCAGCTATTTTGCGGCTGTGTGGTTGACTGTGACCTCACCCCCCTGGCGACTCCCCCATGCGTGGCCTTTACCCTGTCAGCGTACAATGGTACAGAAACCTGCTGTGCTTCAGGACGTGTGTCATTCTCAACATCATCTGTATGGCAGGCCGAGCATGGCTGCATCAGCCTTAATTTTACAAACATGCTGGTCAGTGTGTGGTCGAATGAGAAGCTGTACTGTAGATGACGCTACACAACCATTTCAAGGCTTTGTCTGAATATTTCAAACCTAACCTAATTAAGTGCACTGCATCAACAGTTTTACAAAGCTAGCCTGCTGTGTTTAGCTCACACTTGTTGAAAAGACACATTACTCTCGACCAAGAATAAACTGAGTGGTGATTGCTGTGTGTACATGTCCTACATCTGCAACCTCTGAGAACCCGTCTGCTGTGTTGCTGCTTGTGTTTCAGCTGCTAGCAGCAGTTACTGTTAGTTTGGTCCCCGAGAGGGAGCCTGGGCTATTTCGTGAGCTACGTAGAGGAGATGGGGAGAAGAGCAAACGTACCTCTCTCCACCTGTTGGCCTTCCAGCTGGGGCATCCCCGCGCCCGACAGGCCTTCTGCGTCCGCGGCCGAGGCAGATGACCGCAGTGTTCCTCCTCTATTTTGGTTTGGTTCTGATAAACACAGGCTATCTCCCGCTGCTTGGTCCCCCGACCACAACTCACTGAACACTGGAGAGGGAAGGGGAGAGAAGGGGGATGGGAGTATGGGGGATGAGTGAAAAGAAGAAAGCATGTTAGCAAAGTCCTGTTGAAGAACACAGCTCTCAATCTCTACTGAAGATATTACAAAATGGCACAAATAAAACCTCCAGAGAACGTAGACATAAAGGGGAATCAACAGAGCCATAGCATGTGGTGTATAACAAAATGTAGACCTCGACACAAGAGCCCTCAGTGCACCCAGCAGCTTCCTCGTTGCATTTCATGGCCAAGTGAACACACTGCAAACAAATTTAACTAAGCAACTTAAATGGATTTCACCCAAAGCTTTTGTCAAACACTCACACGGATGGAATGCAGCCCAACTATTTAACCTGTAAACAGAGGAATCACTTTTAGAGCTTCTGTGAAGTGGAGGCCAAGGCAAGAGGAGGAAAAGATGCAGAGCGAAACACTGATGCATGCACACGGCAAGACAATCATCTGGTACGAATAGCCCAAAATACTTCAGGAAAGCTAGAAAGATGACGAAGATGATGAATAAAAACACCCTGACAGCTCTGAGATTGTAGATGGAAATATTCTAGAGTACTCGGTCCTCATAAGGCCAGACAGCAATTAGCATGGCCACTATTCCTGCTTGACGAGTGAGCGCCCCCATTCAAAAGCAGCTCTAAAAATGGGGTGCTGGAATTGAATACACAAGACGAGGAGAGTTGCATTTTGTCTTAGCATATTTTCCAGTCCAGATAATAAACATAATATTGCATTGTCCTCTAATTATGATCTCAGAATGTTGCATAACCCCAAACACACACAGTATGTGCTCATAATACTGATCATTCTACAGATGATGGACCATGGAAACCTAAATCTGCAAACGTCTTGAGGATTTAGTCTTTTCTTTCTTCAGTTTCTAAGAGGTAAAAGGCATTTATTCTCTGTTTTAAAAAAACAGTCTACTGATCAAGGTCTGAGTATCCACCATCTGAGTAAGCCACCTCCAGCCTTTTCTTCTTAAGTGTGGTGCGGGCAGTGGTTAACACTGCACACGCATGCATCATACACATTGCAATTACCGAGGCATTTTAAACACAGGGTTGGCTCAGCTGACGGAGAACATCAAAGCCGAGGCCGGAGCTGAGTGACTAGTCCTGAGCATGGCAGATTCACATACCCGCTGCACACTCACTCAAAAATGATAACAGCACTCCCTCTACCTCAGACAAGAGCAGAGACCGGCAAACATGTTGGAGGGGGGGGATGAAGCGGAGGGCTGGCCCCTCCTTACTGCTGTAAAAGCAGGAGGGGAAAAAAAAAGAGAAAGAAAAAAAAAAAGGGAGGAAGAAAGGAAATCGCAGCCATACGGGCTGTGCTCCCCCAGCTGAACTGTATCTGCATTTTAACGGTGGGAGAAAAGACGCTATATGGCGATGTGCTCCTCCCTCCACCCTGCCAACCTCATCTGTCAGCCATTAGTTAATCAGGGCTGGTAACACAGAGCACAGAGAGCTGGCACAGCTTGTGGGACCAGAGGACAGCTTCACCTCTGAGAGCAAGAAAAGGGCAAGGACTCAGGGACCTCTGCTTCTCGATCTACAGCTGGGCTGCTTCACTCACCAGCACCCACTCAGGTAAGACTATTCCACTTATCTCATACGCTCAGCCGCTACGAGTGTGACAAGTTACCGTTTCGCTGCTTTATTCTCTTCACTTAAAAAAAAAAAAATAGTGGCGTCTGTGTTTGGAGAATGTACAATTTAAAATGGATGTTTGCATGTCCTTTGAAGTTTGGTGCCTGATTATTAAAAAGCATACGTTGTATCATGAAAGTATTGGTATGGGATTCTCACTTTAACATTAAGGAGGGGAACAACTCCTTGAGAAAAACACATACATCAATGGGTCACACGGGAAATGAAACAATCTTGAGACAGATCTGCCCGCCCACGTTGTCCAAGTGATTAATTTCAAAATGATTAGGCGAGTTAGATCTAACATAATCCCGTGAGGTTCACCTGGACATAATGTGGATTACTATAAAATGTGATGACTCAACCGCTTTTGTGAAACTAGTTTCTTCCAAGCAAAGCAGAACTTCTGCAGAGAAAGTTATAATTGATATTTAAAGCCATACATAATGAACAGGCAGCTCTGAATCATTCTATACTTAGTGGCTCAAAGCGGCTTTCTTGATTTGATAGCTTTCACAGTTCTGGAACAAATCACATAATCACATAATTGAGTGCTAAACCAGAGCCAGTTCATTCATGCCTTTTCTGAAACCATTAGACAGCCCGGGGAGTTTTGAACATTGATGTCTGACGTTGACTAACTTAACAAAATGTGATTGCGTACAGACATATCTCTTACAGATAACTGGATAATCAGACTGATATGACATACTTTTCTTTTGAGCATTAATGTCTTTGTCTAGGACAGGCAGGCGTCAACCTCAAGATGACCACACCCAATGCATTTCTGTGAACAGGTAAGCCAATAGGACAAATATGTGTCACTCAGCCAACGTGGCTATCAAAGCAGCTAATACTGTGCAGTACCTCACACGGAGAAGGTAGATTCCACGAAGCCAACAGAGATCAAAACTGTGCATGTGGTTTTATTTGATCAACGATCTCTACGGCCTCAAGCAGTGCATGGGAGCTTTACTACTGTGAGAACTATAATTACGCTTTTGTTCAGTGATTAAAGCAGAATGTTGTGTTTTGAAAACAATGTCGGGGCTCAGAAATCAGAAAGACTGTCATAAACATCATCTTTCATCGTATCTGTATTTAACATAATTGTTTGACTGGCTGATTTTTTTCCCAATTTGAGTTTGTTTCTTAACAACCATGATGATTTCCTGCAAAATAATGAAACAAATTGTATTGTGGAACAGAATATGCTAATAGGACTAAAGTCAAGTTAGTGATATGATATAATATGTTAAGAAGAAATTACTATTATTAAGTATGAAGTTCAGACCACAGATTAGGTTTTTTTTGTTATACGTTTCCGATATCTAGTGGTTTTAAGTGAGACCATATCTTAAAATGGGAGAGCCAAGGTCGAATTCCAATCACATTGCAACACGCTCGCAATGCAACAGGATGGTAATACCAAGCATATGGTAACTGTAGTTACATAGACTCTTCAAAGGAGATCAGTGTTGACCCGGAGCAAGAACAAACTTGTAGACTGGGAAGGGAGTGTAGAATCATACCCTGGGCTACATGTTGTCAATGTTGTGAGATACGGTACACATCTACGGTATATGGCAAACTATACTCATTCAATCTTAATTAATCTCATCATGCAAGGAGCAAGTAGTCATTTTTTGGGAACTGAATGCCCTTTAAGACAGTTTGTTATAGCTTAATCAGTAACACAATGTCCTCTGGTGCATAGATTAAACTGCAAATCAGAGAAAGAAGGAGACAAGAGGGAACAGTCACAGAACATTCAGGCTGCTTTTCTGTCCATGATGTTGTTTTGCAGGGAGGTTTCAAAGACAGGAGTCAAAACAACACATGTTGTCAACATGGGAACAGCTGGTAAGAGCGGCGTCATGGGGCAGAGGAATGTCAAGAGTCATAGATCTTTTATCCATCAGGCCAAAATAGCTATCCAGGCTCGTTTGAGACCACGCACAGGAGCAGTGTGAAATTCTTACATCTAACTCATCTCACGCTTATCTTCACTAACTTTATCCGTGACCAATCTCACAACATGCTTTCAACTATAGAAACCATATGATGAATACATGCAAATATATCCACGTTCAAAATACTGATATTTTATCAGTGCAGTTCCTGCACTCCATGCAAAAGTATGACTTTGCCATGTTTTAAGAGTTAAATAAACAACTGGTTGAGTAGAGATATACAGTTTCTCCAACACGGTTTCCTTTTTAAGTCAACACCACTCAGGAAAGATATACCAAGAGACCATAAGTCAAAACGAAACTACAAAACAGCTTTTTCCGCCTGTCTAAACATTCCACTGAGAGCTTTTTCCATGTTATACTAAAACATCCAGCACCGCTCAAATGTATACTCTGCTGCAGATGGGAATGAGGAACAGATGATGACAGAATTTGAATAATACAGCAGAAGTTATTAAGTCGTTACCTTTGACACTGAACATTCAAGTCTAAGTTTCTCTTCCTGCTAAAAAGAGAATACAAAGATAAAGAAAATGATGCAAGAGAAAGAGAATACCATAGTTTTGAAGAGACAGAAATCCACACCTGGTATGCGTGTATCTTATTACCACATATCCACAAGCAAAACACTAATTACAATATTCCTTTCATGGCAGCATTATAGAGGCGATCTGTTGGTATTAAAGTGCAAATTGTAGTGTTGTAAGCAAAATTGCTACTGCTTTTTATACCTTACCACCACAACCCCTTTGTTCACCGAGTCTATTTTTGAAGCACTGCTGAACTTGTGTCTGATTTCAGCCAAGTCCATGGGCCTTGACATTGGACAAATGCCTCCATCAGAGGAAAAACCCAACCAAAAACACTTTATCATTGAGAAAAAAATAAAATGATTCCTGATGTACCCTGCCTAAACATCACATTTCCAGAACAATGGCAGAATATTTTGATCCGTCTACAACATCAGAAATAAACATCAGGTTTTGGTTTCAGCCCCTCGGACTCAACGAGGAAGATTTGACTCAGTAAACCTAAATGCATAATGCAGTGGTTCGTAATGCTAAATACAGCCAGTCCTTGACAGCTGTTATCATTTTAACAAATGAAAGAAGAAAAAGTGGTTGAAGTGAGTACTAAAACGTCAATATGAAGCTATACTTAATAATATCTGTAAAAAACAATTATAATATACATAGAGCTGGAACAATGAGTTGATTAATCAATTAGTCGATCAAGCATCCATAAAGGCAAATTTTCAAGCAACAATGGAAAACATTTGATGTTTCAGTTTGTTAAACGTGAGGATCTACTGCTTTTCTTTGTCTTACATGGGCTTTGAACT